ATTGATAATTCATTGTGCTTTAGGTCGTGAAGAAAATAATGACCAATTAATAAAGAATCTTGCATATAATATTTCCTATATAATAACAGTTGCATATAGAGAGGAGATCATGAAGTTCTTGGCCGTTAGCATGTACTTAATAATACAATGCTTTATTGTTTAATCAATTGATTACATAATTTTTATATATATGAGTATGCATTTAATTGGGGTTTGTGCTATGATTTATGTATAGATGCATGTATTTTATGTATTATGAGTATGCATTTAATTGGGGGTTATGCTATGATTTATGTATGGATGCATGTATTTTATGTATGTATGTATATGTTTCAAAGGGTATTTTCAGAAGAAATGTTTTAACATCCCAATCCACTTTTATAGTAGTATTAGATTAGATTTATGTATGTATGTATATGTTTCAAAGGGTATTTTCGGAAGAAATGTTTTAACATTCCAATCCACTTTTATAATAGTATTAGATTAGATTAGATTAGATTATGAAGATTATGAAATAAGTATATGAAATTATGAAGTTTCAGTATTAACATATGGTATTATGAAATTTTTAACATCCCAATCCACTTTTATAATAGTATGGTGCACGTGCGATGCACGTGTAAAACCTTACATGTTTATATGTAGCCCTATAGTTATTTTTTTGCATTGATAATTTTTTTTCTATGTGACATATATTTGAAAATGTCATATATAATATATATTAGGTTTTGATTGAATGACTTTTAATTGGCAATTTATGCTTGTTCTCAGAAATAATTGGTCACTTTTATTAATTAATGATATAAATAGACGTTATAGGGTTATAAATAGGATCATAAAGAACACTAATTTGGCATATAAAAAATCAGGATATTGACAGAAAAAACCACAAAATAAATAAGGTAACCAAAATTATTTAATTATATGTCCTAGCAGAATCATATCTTCTTTAAGTTTGACATAAATAAACAGAAGGGAGCTCAATTTGAGCAGCATTCGTTAGATTTAAAAGATTCTTTTTTGTCAAACTGTAGAGAGCGATAGGACATCGGACTGCAGCAAGGCAATTTGATCTATAATAGCTAGATTCCATGACCTGCAAATGAAACTAAATCGAGCATGATTAGGCATCGTCAACTTCTCGAGGATCAAACCTAACTATAAATGTTACATAAAGAGTGAGATCACCTTTGAGATCAAAGATAATATGTTGCATTGTAAATAGTTGACAGCTTTAATATACATCTTCGTTGCATATTAGAATGTTGTGTTAGATAATAATTGGTTGAAAGATAATTTGTACAAAATGTGCATCATAGAATGAAAAAAAAATAATCAATGAAGATTTTGTTCTTCAAGTATTATAAATAATCAATGAACAATTAATGTATATACTGAAATACCACAAAATGCCACAAGTTTAAATCTATATGCATGGTTGAGATAACGTCTTTTAATATTGGCTTAAAAACTTTATTAGGATTAAATACAATTGAATGAATATAAATGGCCAAAAAATATTAAAATAACTTGAGAAAATTCGTTTTAATATTAACATAGATGTCGGAATTGCCAGAAAAAAACATATTTTGCGTGCAACTACACCATATGGATTATTTATTTGTAATAAACAAAAATATTAAATTCTTACTCTTTATTCATAATTATGACGTCCCTTCTTTTAGAAGTGGGATTGGTAAATATTAGCTTCACAGTTATTACGAGTCCAACAACATCTGCAATAGAGAATTTTTTTAGTGATCATTAATATGTAGAAATATTTGCATGATAATTTTTTTAAAAATCTTACCAAAAGACATTTTTCCATCATCAAAAGCAGAATCATCTTTAAATGAAAGGAATGTTGGTTTCGACTTCTTAAATGATACAAAGTTTTTTGTTTCTTTTTTTCTGTCTTTGTTGTTAGAGCCAACTCCTTTTCTAGATTAATTGATGAATATTTCAAATTTGGAGGTTTTACTTCTCCATTTGTTATAGTATATGTTTCTCTCTTTATCAATAAACCGCTGAACTTTTCTATCAGCTTATTAAATAAAATTGCTTGGATAAGTGTTCCCTACAAAAGACACAATGGGGAATAAATCACGTCATCAGGATAATATAAAAATTACATGGAATAATAACAATGTAAAATTTGTATCACCTCTTCATCAATTAGAAGCAACTTTTGCTTCTTCCCTTCTCCATTCTTAAAGGAGTCTATAGTATTACGTAAAACACGAACATTTATACTCCATTGTGTCTTTTGTAAATTTTTAACTCTTGTATCGAGATGTTGGCTTGATCATTAATTCCATCTTGATCAGATGACATGCTTCACGAAAAAAGTATATAATTTATAAATCTAATTCGGAGTTTATACCTTACAAACAAAAACATACTTTTACTAACCTCTTTGAATCACATAGTGTTGCTTCCATCTCCACCTGTTTTTTATTTTTTTGGTAGGATTTTTAAGATTTTGTAAGCTGGAAGTTGTGCGTGGATCACATTTATATGAGATTTGACTAATAATGACATGCCAAATAATTAATTTGATGATGGGGGGTTACAAAAGTATAATGTAACGTATTTTACATAAATGACTATAATAATTATTTTAATGTTTTGCATACTCACTAAAGTACACAGTAAGGAGAGTTAAATGTCCATAATGGTTTATGATAACCGTTTTTACAAATAATTAAGAAGTAACGGTTTATGACTTGCACTATGACTTAATTTGATGATGGCTAAGGGGTACAAAAGTATAATGTAACATATTTTACATAAATGACTATAATAATTATTTTAATGTTTTGCATACTCACTAAAGTACACAGTAAGGAGAGTTAAATGTCCATAATGGTTTATGATAACCATTTTTACAAATAATTAAGAAGTAATGGTTTATGACTTGCACTATGACTTTTAAAATAATTTTTTTGGGTTATGAGTATGCATTTAATTGGGGGTTATGTATGTATGGCTATGATTTATGTATGAATGCATGTATTTTATGTATGATTTTTTGGGGTTATGAGTATGCATTTAATTGGGGGTTATGTATGTATGGCTATGATTTATGTATGAATGCATGTATTTTATGTATGATTTTTTGGGGTTATGAGTATGGTATGTATGGCTATGATTTATGTATGAATGCATGTATTTTATGTATGATTTTTTGGGGTTATGAGTATGCTTTTAATTGGGGGTTATGTATGTATGTCTATAGTTTATGTATGAATGCATGTATTTTTTATATGTATGTATATGTTTAAAATGGTATTTTCAGAAGAAATGTTTTAACATCCCAATCCATTTTTATAATAGTATTAGATTAGATATATGTATGTATATGTTTAAAAGGGCATTTTCGGAAGAAATGTTTTAACATCCCAATCCACTTTTATAATAGTATTAGATTATATTAGATTGTTAAAAACTCTTTTAACCAAAACATGAGAGGCTTATATGACCCTCTTTCTGTTGATCCAAAAGTAGTAATTGGGATTTAAAAAAAAAGATGGTAATTGAGAGCTATAATTATCACGTGAAAGAAGAGGAAAGTGCGGAAAAAGAGCATTTGTATCCTCCTAAGTGAAGTGATCACTAATTATAATATAGTGAATAATTGTGATTCATTCTAAATTTAGCACTCATCTTTAATTCTATAAACTGCACTTATGTCTAATTCACATTTAAAATAAATCATAACTATTTACTAAAAATCAACGGCCAGGATAAAAGCAATAATCTCTTCGTTGTCATTCGATGAAGAAATTTTCAAAACCGACCCAAACCATGTTTTTATTTTCAAAACCGACCCTTTTATTTATTTATTAAAATCGACCCACTTTTTGCCACATCAGCTTAATCCCATTCTTAAACAGTTGGGGTTGACAATCCCGACTGTTTAGGAGATTGTTAAACCCCAATTAGAAGCCTTAAACCCGGTTTTTGCTGTCCTAAATAGTCGGGGTTGGCAACCCCGACTAATTAGGAAATAAGATTAAGCTGACGTGGCAAAAAGTGAGTCGATTTTGATAAATAAATAAAAATGGGTCGGTTTTGAAAATAAAAACATGATTTGGGTCGGTTTTGAAAATTTCTTCTCTTTAGATAGTAAAGAGTAGGGGTGTTAACGGAGCGGATACGGCTCGGATATGGCACTTACCATATCCATATCCGCTTACCCATCTCGGATACGGATACGGATACAGATATACGTAACGGAGCGGATACGGCTCGGATATGGTACTTATCATATCATATCCGCTTACCCATCTCGGATACGGATACGGATACAGATATACGTCGGTAAGAAAAATTCATATCCATATCGGCCAAAATCGGATACGGTTACGGATATATAAACGGATATGCATGCGGATACAAAAAGAATATGAGAAAACTAGATAGTATTCATAAAAATATAGTCATGTGATACAAAAAGAGTTCGTTAATATGTTCATTATGATTGAAAAGCTAAGATTAGACATCTTGATCATCAAAATTAACCACAAATCCATAATCTAAGAATCGAAACTATCGTAAGAGTATTACCAATATGTATTCGGATTTTTTCGGATACGGATACGAATATTTCACTACAAAACCATATCCGCAACCATATCCTATCGGTAATAGATTTGAGTAACCATATTCGTATCCTAACGGATACGGTTACGGATATTTCCTCGGATACGGATACGGTTTGGCACCCCTAGTAAAGAGGATCTGAGTGCCAAAAGAGGTAGGAAAAATGGAAAATCTTTCATGCATAAGTTTAAAAAATAAGGGTTAAAAAACAAAAAGAGTCCCATTCTTGCTTTGTGAAAAAAAAAACCAGCTCTCCCGTTCCTCCCATTACTTCTTGAACCCAGAGACTGACATGTAGGAGCCAACATGTGGGTCCAAGGTGACGTCACATCCTTCCCTACGCCCTTATCACACTATCTATCACCCACATTCCTTTTGAGCCCTAAAAAGGAAAATTAAATCTATATAATTAAAAAAAAAATCATGGCCTTAGCTTCAGTTCCCGCGCTAAATCTCACTCAAGCTCTTCACTACGATCTCGCCCCAAATCGAATCAATCCAAGGCCGCGCAGTTCAAATTCCCGTTCACAATTCCTTCTCCAATCCATCCGCTGGAATCTAGGACACCGGAATCGGAATCATAGAAGACTCAGAACTAGGGCAGAATCTCCTCAAAATTCACAGCCTATGGTCCCTCCTTATAATGTTCTTATCACCGGCTCAAGCAAAGGTCTCTTCTTTTCTTTTTCCTTGGATTTTTTTCTGATTATTTTGATAAAGAATTTTTAACTGGGGCTCGTGTTTTTGCTGTAGGAATTGGGTATGCCCTTGCAAAAGAATTTCTAAGAGCGGGTGATAATGTCATAATCTGTTCGCGATCAGGTATAATTTTGCTGTTTATTTCAATAGTATGGTTTTTTTAATCGCTTACCTTCTCTGTTAAATTATTCATTGGGTTTGAATGTAGCTGAGCGTGTGGAATCAGCTGTTAAAAGCTTGAGAGAGGAATATGGGGAGCAGCGTGTGTGGGTATTTACTGCTACGCTGTTTTTTTAATAAATAAATTATTTTGGTTATTTATTTTTCTATGAAAAGATCCAATTTTGTCGCAGGGAACCACATGCGATGTTAGAGATGGAAAGGATGTCAGAAATCTAGTAGAATTCGCACAAGAGAAGCTTGGTTATATTGATATATGGGTAATTTAGTTGATATTTTCGTTGATTAGATAGTATGTTTACTGTTTTCAATGCTTGATACCTGATAGGAAATATTGTTCATTGTGAGGGTACATTGTGTTTGATATTGATATTATCTAAGCAGCATGAGAAGTCAGAACCACACAACAATGAAGTGTATGCACTTGGTGGTTATATACCTATGTTGGGTCGTCAATAGTCTGGATTCATTATGATGTCATTAAATTGATAGGCATCATCGAGTCTGTGAATCAGTTCTAGTGAAATAGTTGTCACGAGCTTTCTTGAGTTTTTGATCAGAAGAATTTCAGTGATGTTCTTCCAATAAAGTTTAGGCCATGGCCTTTTCTTAATAAATAAATAAATAAATTCAGTGATGTTCAAAATATTTACTTGGTCCATATTTCCAATTATAAGATAGGTTGAATTAGATTGCCATTCTACAGTTCCATTCCCTTTGCCCTTGTGAGATATCTTGACATTTGCTAGCATTTCGTTTCCCTCTTCTTCAATCTTTACCGTTAACAATTCCTACTACTGACGCTGTTACAGCATTTATATATGTCAACTGTAGAGCTTGTTGATTAATTTAGAAGTAGAAATGCTTCTTTTTGCACCCTTCCAGTTAAAAGTAAATAGGTGTACAGAGAAGTCTAGCTCATATGTTCATTCAATTTGCTAAAATATTTTGCAAATTAGAACAATTGAGTTCGGTGACATAATAAACAAGGAACATACGTACTTTCAGAAAGGATAATTGAGTTGTATTATTTATTTTATTGTTGGGTCCACTATTAGTCTATTACAAGCCGATGTTTTGCAACACTATGAATCTAGCATTCTTTGGGGTCACTCTAGGTGAATCTTAAACTTCGGTGCATTAGATTTCAGAACTCAGTAATACAACGAGCTTGTAACAACCCAATGACCAAAATTTTGCAACTCCATCAAAAGTATCCTCACCACTGTCAGGGTTGGCAAAACTAAAGCAAAATCAAAGTGCTCAGACATGTCCTTTTCTAATCAATCCTGCCTTGTATGTACAAGAATCAGAACTGCGTTCTCTCGAGAATACTGCATTACGTAGAAAATCATGGTGTTCCTCCATGCATCTCCATTTTCATATCTTTTTGTGGGAAATTCGAATAACACAATTGAGAATATGATTTATTGTATTATCTCTTTAACTGGCTTAGAAAAAGAATGAATACAATTCTCTCAATACAATTTCTCTCTAACTGATTTAGAAAACAAGAAATTACAATCTTCTGGTATCGGATTCCCGATTTACAAAAGAGAAGAAGATCGACGAAGATCCTCTCTTTTGTTTAAGTCTGGGTTCTTCACGGTGGCGATGAAATGCCTCCATCGAATGCTCGCGTCGAGTTTGCTTTCCGTTGATGATCCGAACATCTTGTTTCAATGGAACGTGGTTGATTCCTCTTGATTGACGTTGAGGAGAACTTGCGTGGCAAGTTTGAAACTCTTGACAGGTTGATAACTCAGAGCGAGTTTAAACTCTTGAAAAAGAGTTGATTTGAACCGAAAATCGGTTAATAAGCCAAGGATGAAAGCTCCAAGGACTACTCCGCAAGATGAATGTCCATCTTTCAATCTCTTTGCTGTCGAAAGAGGATGAATTGGTGATCCCCTTTGCTGATCTCTAGATCCGAAAATACTCAAAGATCCAAAGATCGCAAAAAACCAGCCCCTAACTCAGTTGAGTTTTCTATGATTTATAAGGGATTAAGGGGTGTAACCGTCCCCTTAAATTTCTTCTTAATGAGGGTTTAATAGGGTGTAACCGCCCCCCCTATAAATCTCTCCATGATAGGGTGATGATCCCCTCAAATCGTGGGGAGAAAATGATTTCTGGAACCGTTCAACTCATGTTTGAACGAGTCAAACGCTGAAAACGGCGTTCTGGATCCGAACTCTGCGTCTTAGACCTGAAACGCAGAGTTGAGCTTTTCTAGTTGGCTCAGAACGCAGTGGCCGCACCGTTTTAAAATTCTGAGACGCATGAATGAACTCCGCGTTTGGATCTGGAACGCAGAGTTGGGTTTTGCGTTTTGAGCTGAAAACGCAGCAACGAAGTCTGCGTTTGGATGTTGCAACGCAGGGAGGACTTCTGCGTTTTGACGTTGCAACACAGGGAGGACCTCTGTGTTTTGATGTTGAAAAGCAGGTCTGACCTCTGCGTTTTGATGTGAAGAGACCATTAATTTGTGGTATCTTTTGCTAGAGTGTTGTAAAGATCATCATCTTGTAATCTTCTTCTTGGCTCCTTGAAAATATAAAAGTCGTCAGATTGTAACTCCCGATGTTGATTGTGAAGGCTGTTGATTAGAGCTTTCATCAGTTGTTGCGTAACTCCCGATGTTGATTGTGAAGGCTGTTGATTAGAGCTTTCATCAGTTGTTGCGAAGGTCGTCAGATTGTAACGATTAGAGCTTTCATCAGTTGTTGCGAAGGTCGTCAGATTGTAACCTTCATCGATCTACGTGAAAATTTTAAATTGTAGCCTTCTGGAAGCCATCAAATTGTAACTTTCATCATCGGTGTTTGATGGGGGATCAGCTATCTGCAGTGATTTTTAGACAACCTATAATATCATATGAGGTAACATGGTTTTTTTGCATCAAAGATAGTGTTTATATCTGTCTTTCTATCACAGTTATTCTACGAATTGACTTCTCCTAACGAAACTTCCAATATCTTTCAAAAGAAACTTCTCACATGGGAACTTGGTGTTCTTCTCACTAGAAAACTGGATCTGTTTGTTAAATAAAGTGGACTGAACTATCGAAATATGAGTTTTAGTTGGCGGTTACTAACTAAAACTCGTACTTTGATCTAAGGTTTCACTCTTGACTTTATTTGAACTCATATTATATTTTATGTGTGATCGTGGGGGGCTCACCCACGTGCGCGGGAATCTTTCCCGCTCCCAGCTCCCGAGCGCGGGAGTTTTTCCCGCTGCAGCTCCTGAGCGCGGGACTTTTCCCGCGGGAGTTTTCTCTCCCGCCCCATCAGCCCGCCAACTCTTCAGCCCCACCTCCCCTTTGGTTTCTCCTATAAATAGGAGAGGTGGTGGAGGTGTTTTAGTGTGGGAAAATTGTGGTAAAAACAATTAGGGTTGTGTGAGTTTTCTTTGAGAGAAAAGAAAGAGTGAGTGAGAGAGAATTTGTAAAGTTTGGTATTCTCCTCATAGTGAAACCCCCCTCCCGTGGACGTAGGCTAGTTAGCCGAACCACGTAAAATCTCGTGTATTTACTGTTTTCTGGGTTGTTGGCTATTGCTTGTAGGATCCCTCAAAATTCGGTCTTGCGCTGATGAGAGGAAGAGTGGATATCTCACTTCGCTGAGATATTTCGCTACTGAGTCTAGGTTTCCTTCGCGAAACACAGATAGCTAGTTAGCCGAACCACGTAAAATCTCGTGTATTTACTGTTTTCTGGGTTGTTGGCTATTGCTTGTAGGATCCCTCAAAATTCGGTCTTGCGCTGATGAGAGGAAGAGTGGATATCTCACTTCGCTGAGATATTTCGCTACTGAGTTTGAGTTTCCTTCGCGAAACACAGATATCGAGGTTGACTTGTGCTTTTGTGACAACAAAGGCCAGGGCTCTCTCTCAGGACATATCGCTTCCGCGGCGGTAGGCGTGACTCTGCGCCCAACAATTGGTATCAGAGCCTTATTCAGACCGGAGGTGGTAAAATTTCTGATCTGAGGTGGTGGTTGAATATTGTGTGGTAAAACACAAATAATTGTTAAAAATTCCTGAGAGAAGCGGATTAACATAATACAAGCAGAAAATGGCTTCTACAAGTAAAACAAGTAAAGTTGGTAAATACGAGATTGAAAAATTCAATGGGAAAAATGATTTTTCCTATTGGAGGATGCAGATGAAAAATTCGCTGATTTCGCAAAAATTGCACAAGGCTTTGGCTGGAAGAGAGAAGCACAAAACTATGTCTGATGAGGATTGGGAGGAGCTGGATCTGGAAGCACGGGCGTCGATTATCCTTTGCCTTGAAAGGGATGTAGCTTTCTTGGTGGACGGGGAGGAAACGGCTGCGGGCGTGTGGTTGAAGTTAGAAAGCACCTTCATGACGAAGAGTCTAACGAACCGGATCTATTTAAAATCCAAATTGTATACTTGCAAGATGGAGGAGGGCTCATCAATCCGGGAGTACATCAACAAGTTCGATAGGATCATATCGGATTTGAAAGACATTGAGGTGACAGTGGAAGACGAGGATCAGGCGCTTCTACTACTTTTATCTCTGCCGAAGTCTTATGAGAACCTGGTGCAAACACTGATGCTTGTGGGTGATACTTTGTCGATGGATGAGACTAGAGCGGCGCTTCTAGCGGATGATCTTCGAAAAGTTGCAACTAGTGATATGGCCACTGGTGGTAACAAAGAACAAGCGCAGGGACTGTTTGCCAGAGGAAGAGGCAATGAGCGAGGAAAAGGCAAGGGAGGAAAGACTAGATCTAAATCTAGACCTCTTGCGGGACGAGCGTGTTTCAATATGCGGCGAAGTTGGGCAACTTCAAGGCGACTGTCCAGACAAGAGAGTAGGTGGGAAAAGAATAACAACAAGACTGAAAGACGAGAAGGCAAGGAAGAGCGCGATGCTCGTTCAGAGGATTGGAGCGATAAGGAATGCTATGTCGTCACGGGATGGCCAGTACTTCTCGGAAAGTGGTTAAATTGATTCTGGCCTGGGCTCTTTACACATTGTGTCCAAACAGGAAAGTGCGTTTGACTACACTACAGGAGAATTGATGGTGGAACCGTATTGATGGAGGAATACCATGCTTGTAAAACGGATTGGGGCTGGTAATTATCAAAAATCAAGATGCCGATGATGGAGTGTCCGAACCCTGACGACCGTACGACACGTCCCGGCTTTGCGGAAAGAATCTCATCTCATCGGTGCTTTTGGACTCCGGGGGTTGGCCCAATGATTGTTAACAGAGAACGGAGTAAAGAGGACGAGGGGGCGCGGGTTGTTCGGGGTTCCTTAACAGTTGATGAAGGGTGATCGTCACGGGGTAATCTATATACTCTCTCGGGTACGACGGTGACGGGAGAGTGCAGCCAGTTGGAGCTGGAAGGAAGTGGGAGACCCATGTGAGCACACACGGTTATGCATTAGGCGCGCCTTGGCCACATGTCAGAGAAGGGTCTGATCTGCTTGGTAACAGTCAAGAGAAGAGAGATATATGCTGAAGAAGAATCTGAAGAAGCCTTCATGGATTTTTGCGGAGGACTGCTGTGTATGGAAAGGCGCATAGGGTTCAATTCTGAGAAGCAAGCCACAAGAGAGCAGGCGATACTAGATTATGTGCACACGGATGTTTGGGCTGTCCGGCCTTCGACTCAACTTCCAAGGGTGGTTCCAGAATTTTGTCTCATTCATAGATGATCATTCAAGATATGCTTGGGTTTATTTCCTGAAGCATAAGAATGAGGTATTTGAGACATTCAAGAAGTGGAAGGCGATGGTTGAGAACAGGACGGGTAAGAAATTGAAAACACTGAGATCTGATAACGGTACAAAGTATACAGAGGGTGCTTTCAAGGAGTTTTGTGATCAGGAAGGGATTGCTAGACACTGGACAATCAGGTCTACACCACAGCAAAATGGGGTCACGGAAAGACTGAACCGAACACTGCGAGAGAAAGCAGTGAGTATGCGATCATATGCTGATTTGGGCAAAGAATGATGGGAAAAGTCGATTGGTGGTCAGGGGAACATGCAGATTATGAGAGGCTCAGAATTTTCGGATGTACCGCCTATTATCACGTCAACGAGGGAAAGCTTGACGCGAGGGCCAAGAAGGCGATATTCTTAGGGTATTCAAAGGGCGTAAAAGGCTACCGCCTTTGGTGTACAGAAGATTCGAAGTTCGTTATCAGCAGGGACGTTACCTTTGATGAGAAGTCCATGATTGCTAGGGTGCCCAAAGATGGTGGTGTTGATACTGTCGGGACTCCCGAGTCCCAGGTTATTGAGATAGAACCGAAAGACCAACCAGGTTCTAGCCCAATGATGATGGTGTTGAGACTGTTAGGAATTCTAAGTCCCAGGTTATTAATATAGAACCTAAAGACCAACCAGTTTCTAGTCATGTTCAAGTGGGAAATCAGGTAGATGATGAGCTTGAGTAGGAGGAGGTTTAGCAGGAGAATACACAGGCACTACAACAACAGCAGCTCGAGGATAGCTTGGCTTCCACTAGGCCAAGGCGAGTATACAAGCAGGTACAGAAGCTGGGGGCTGATCAACCCCTAAAGCACTATGGGCATGTTAATTTGGTTGAATACGTACTCTCGGTGGAGGAAGATGAGCCGGTCTCCTTCAAGGAAGCTATTCGAGACAAGAATAGTGAGAGTTGGTTGGCTGCGATGGAGGAGGAGATGGAATCTCTCCGGAAGAACCAAACATGGGAGGTGGTCCCATTGCCCGTAGGAAAGAAAGCTATAGGTTGTAAGTGGCTGTATAAAAGAAAGGAAGATCCTTCAGAGCTCGGTGGAACGAGGTACAAGGCGAGGCTTGTGGCTAAGGGGTTTGCTCAAAGAGAGGGTGTGGATTACAATGGGATATTTTCTCCGGTGGTGAAACACACTTCTATTCGGGTGTTATTGAGTATTGTTGCTCATGGTGATCTTGAGCTGGAACAACTCGATGTCAAGACGGCCTTCTTGCACGGAGACTTGGATGAGGAGATCTATATGCATCAACCTGAGGGATACAAGGTTGAGGACAAGGAGCATCATGTATGTCGCGTGAAGCAATCTCCTCGGCAGTGGTATAAGCGATTTGACTCCTTCATGCTGAAGCATGGGTTTTCCCGAAGCGACTATGATTGTTGTGTTTACATTCGGAAGCTTCGTGGAGGTGATTATATCTATCTCCTGTTGTATGTGGATGACATGCTTATTGCATCGAAGAACAAGGTGGAGATAGATAAGCTGAAATCTCAACTTAGCAATGAGTTCGAGATGAAGGACATGAGCGCTGCAAAGAAAATACTGGGTATGGAGATTAGAAGAGAGCGGGCGAATCGGCGATTGTTCTTGAGTCAGAAGGGCTACATAGAGCGGGTGATCGCGAGGTTCGGGATGCAAAGTGCTAAGTCGGTGGTAACTCCATTGGCTCAACACTTCAGGCTTTCAGGTAAACAATCTCCCACTACAGCGGAAGATAAGGCACACATGGATCGTGTCCCTTATGCTAGTGCAGTTGGCAGTTTAATATACGCAATGGTGTGTACACGCCCTGATATTTCACAGGCGGTTAGTGTGGTCAGCAGATTCATGGCGAATCCGGGAAAGACGCACTGGGAAGCTGTGAAATGGGTCCTAAGGTACTTGAAAGGTACCGCGGATACGGGTCTATGCTTTGGTGGAGATACATGTCAGGTCGACGGGTATGTGGACTCAGATTATGCGGGCGATCTAGATAGACGGCGATCTACTACTGGTTATGTATTCAGGATACATGGAGCTCCAGTTAGTTGGCGATCGATGTTGCAGGCCACAGTGGCACTTTCTACAACAGAGGCCGAGTACATGGCTATGACGGAGGGAGTGAAGGAAGCATTGTGGTTGTGGGGTCTTCTAGACGACTTGGGGATTGAGCAAGAGAGCGTGAACCTGTGGTGCGACAGTCAAAGTGCGATTCACTTGGCGAAGAATCAAGTTCACCATGCTCGTACCAAGCATATCGATGTCAAGTATCATTTTGTGCGGGATGTCATAGAGGAAGGAGATATTTCTCTCATGAAGGTGCATACGAATGAGAATAGTTCCAACACTGCTTTGACATGCTTCATATCAGCCCATGTTAATCTGTTCAAGAGGGCATGTTCCTTCGTGGCGGTGATGGGGTAAGGTGGAGACTATGTTGGAGAATAATTGCAGAACTACGGTTAGCTTGATCCCGGTGGAGGGTACGTAGGCAGTCGCGGTATAGTGACGCAGCTGGTTTGGCCTGGTTCTGGCCTGGATCTCTCTGGTTAAGTTCGTGGGGGTTCTCCTGGTGTTCGTCCAAAATTTGAGGATTATCAAATGATGTACGAGGTGGAGAATTGTGATCGTGGGGGGGCTCACCCACGTGCGCGGGAATCTTTCCCGCTCCCAGCTCCCGAGCGCGGGAGTTTTTCCCGCTGCAGCTCCTGAGCGCGGGACTTTTCCCGCGGGAGTTTTCTCTCCCGCCCCATCAGCCCGCCAACTCTTCAGCCCCACCTCCCCTTTGGTTTCTCCTATAAATAGGAGAGGTGGTGGAGGTGTTTTAGTGTGGGAAAATTGTGGTAAAAACAATTAGGGTTGTGTGAGTTTTCTTTGAGAGAAAAGAAAGAGTGAGTGAGAGAGAATTTGTAAAGTTTGGTATTCTCCTCATAGTGAAACCCCCCTCCCGTGGACGTAGGCTAGTTAGCCGAACCACGTAAAATCTCGTGTATTTACTGTTTTCTGGGTTGTTGGCTATTGCTTGTAGGATCCCTCAAAATTCGGTCTTGCGCTGATGAGAGGAAGAGTGGATATCTCACTTCGCTGAGATATTTCGCTACTGAGTCTGAGTTTCCTTCGCGAAACACAGATATCGAGGTTGACTTGTGCTTTTGTGACAACAAAGGCCAGGGCTCTCTCTCAGGACATATCGCTTCCGCGGCGGTAGGCGTGACTCTGCGCCCAACATTATGAGAGTGTTATGTAACAAGTCTTTTTTCTTAATCATGTTCATGTCTTCATTGCTAAGTTTTCAGTTGTCAAAGTTTTTTTTAATTAAGTTTAACAAATGATGTAGATCAACAATGCTGGATCCAATGCATACAGTTACAAGCCCTTGGCTGAAACATCCGATGATGATCTTATGTAAGTTCACACTATCATTACACACCTGTCTCAATGTGCTTGTCCAATGCTAGATGGCTTCAGATTGGTGGTCTGAACTGTTCGTTCTTTTGTTAAGGGAAGTTGTCACCACCAACACTCTTGGTCTGATGATTTGTTGTCGTGAGGTACAAGTGATTATTTTCACTTTGGAACAAATCAGTTGGCATATTTAATAAGCCATTTTATTTTGACCGACTAAGCTTACTTTGGGATTGTAGGCTATAAATATGATGCTTAGCCAGCCTCGAGGTGGGCACATTTTCAACATTGATGGAGCTGGTTCAGATGGAAGGCCCACTCCTCGGTATGGATTTCTTCATTTGATGCGCAGTAGTCACGAGAAAGTTAATCGGAAGATATGATCATTAGTCAGACAATTAACTTCTCAAAGTCAGAGGATCTTATACATTTGCATTTTGAGAACCATAACCATCAAGCCGTGTCCCAATATTTTTTGGTTTTCTTTTTTGCTATTATTATTGAGAGCAATCCCTAGGTTTTCCCACCTCTTTTAAGCCGTTAACAAGAACCTTATAACTATTCTTCAATTTAAGTTGAGCAACTTCATGATAAACAATGTGATATTGACTTAGTGCTTTGATGCTTTCCTTGGTGTGGTATCCACAATGTCTTGAAACTAAATCTTCTCAATTATTTTACCCTCAGCCATACTTTTCGCCATTGCCTTCTTTTTCCTCCTCATTTATAGTCTGCCTTACCAGACATCCACATCAACATCTTAGTCTTTACTGCTCTGGTATTGCAAAATTATCTTCACACCAGCTAACAGTACTCTTAACAAGTCGATCACCAACATGCAATCTTTGTAGTCAGCATTCATATCAACCAGAGGCAGCCTTCTTCTATTTTCTGCTTCACAGTTTACATTTTTCCATCGAGGGTGTGTTTGTGTGTCCCTAATCCTAAGTATTCTAATCAAAGATTCCATTTTCCCCCATGGAATTCAAGAATGTAATGGAAATCCTTGTTTGGTAATTGGATGTTAATTTTTGTGTAAAAAGATTACAGTCCCAAATGTAATCCAATCCAGGAGGTCAGGACCTTTTCCTAAGATGAAATGTATTTCTCTTAGGGAAAAAAAACTACTCTTCCAAGAAATTATTTGCTTGTAGGGAAGGCATCAGAAGAATTTTTTTGGATCGTAAACCAAAGGATTTTTACTTAAAGGAATACAGGAAAAATCCAAAGGATTCCCATCCCATACAGAATACAAGGAAGTTTCATTCGAGTATTCAGAGAAGCTCTTAGTCTGTCTACATCAAATGGTTTTGGTTAGCTGTTTTACAAGAAAAACAGTAAGCATCTGATTCATATGCTTATCCCTTTTGTGCACTTGTAATATTGAAGTTTGATATTCTTTTGAATATTTCTTCTCGGTCGTTATTCTAATTATTTCATCAATACAAACTGATATAACTGGTTATTTCATCAATACAAACTGATATAACTGGTGTCTTTTGTTTTCTATTATTATATATCTGTTGTATACAAAGATTTTTATGCAGTAAAGATTATCTATGGAAATTATCATATTCCAATCTCTTGAAGCAGGAACAGACCACACTCGTCAATTATTCTCAGAACAATAAAGTATATATATTCAGCAACGCTATTCTCATAGTTTCTTATGATCTATTCACAGTTTTGCTGCATATGGAGCAACAAAGCGCAGTGTGGTGCACCTAACTAAATCCTTGCAGGTAAGTACTAAAAGAGTTTCTAGTATTGTGCTAATTTAATAGGACCAGTTAAGTTGAGACTATGACTGTGTGCACTCAGTTTTTCATAGGACTTAGGAGATAACTCCCAAGTGGTTTTAGAATAGATAATCCTGGAAGGCTGGGGGTTTCTCTTGCTGACCAAATTTCTCAAATTGCATGTCCAATTTTTGATATCAAGTTGAGTAGATCATGATATGGTCTGTGCAGACTGGTGCAATTATATATGTTTTTCTTTTAGTAGGTACCAACACTAAGATGGATATGGTTTAAAGTTTTGAACGTAATATCCATATTAAACAATTGATCCATGATGCGGTTTGAATATGGACATTATTCAGATATTAACCATTAGTTCTGAACAGTTGGAGGCCGAAAAGTAAATCAGCTCTTTTGTCCATTTTGCATTAAATTTATGTATAAATAAATCAATACTAGTTTGACTTGTGATTAATCAACATCTTTCATGATTTAATTCTAAAATAATTTAGCATGCATGCACAGGATATGATTTTACATACGTTGATCATACTTGCAAGTTTGGAAAATTTAACACTAGTCTTTTTTTAACCTAAAAGTAAAAGGCAATCCATGATTGTATTCATAGTTTAGATGCAGATAACAGACATCCATACTGTCCCAAAAAGAAAAGAAACATATGTATGATATCCATACCGTCCCAAAAAGAAAAGAAAAAGAAACATATGTATGATATATAATCAGATATGTGTTGTATTATTTCTATTTGTTTACACCTTTACCATGTGTTATGTACTTAAATGTACACGCTTGGATGCTAAGATACTTGGTGGGTCCTTGTTAGATACTTCCTTTGTTATTACCAACGATTTTATGTCCTTGTGGATCTAACAACGCCTAAGAAGTTAAGTTATAATTGTTGAATAATTGGGTTCACAATTTAGTATGCTATTCTGATACACTTATCCCATTTACCTAATTTTTCAATAAAGGAGAATGATTGTTCATAGTCATTGTTGCAACATCCATGTTATTTCTTTTGGTATGTTGGCCATGTATGCTGTATTGTTCACTTACGTTAAACTGTCGTGTCACCATCTCCATATCATATTGTGCATGCAAAAGGGTTATGTGCGTGTGCATACAATATTTAAATAATATGCCTGTTAGTAGGATTTGGGCCCAGGTCCAAATCCAATTTCGAAATCATACCTGCAACTCCATGGACCATGTTCTCTTGCTTCTGATCTTGGAAGTAAGATGCACCAGTAATAGTTTGGTGGTTTTGACCTATGTAAAAGGAATGCAATTCAGGCTTATGCTGTGGTGACCTTGTTGACATGACATTTGTATTTCTGGCACTTTGGCAGAATGCTAATTCTATAAGCTGTTTGCCAGGCAGAATTGCAGATGCAAGATGTAAAAAATGTTATGGTGCACAATCTATCGGTAAGTAGTGCCTTCTAGCTATTTAGGTGCTTTCTTAAGAAAATTTCCTGGTTGTAAGCATGTCCGAGAGTTATTTTCATACATTTCTTTCTAGAGTTAATGTTGCTGTAAGATATTCCTGGAAACAGTTATAGCTCTTTAACTGAGTTTTAAATGCAGCCTGGTATGGTCATAACAGATCTTCTCATGTCTGGGGCCACAACAAAACAAGTATGACCTTTATAATTTATACTAAATTCCTTATTTAATTTTTTGTGGTTATAATTGATTGGGCATCTTTAACATTTTTTTATTCTTTTATAGGCTAAATTTTTCATCAATATATTAGCTGAGCCACCTGAGGTGGTAAGAAATTTTCTTTCTCAGTCTTCTTCTGAAATACTCTTGATCTGCTAAAACAAGAGGTAGCGGACACTTTTGTCCATTCTGGCTTATTTCTTACTTTTAGCATTGCTGCAATAAATTTGTAAGACAGGTGTTCTACTTTGCATAGGATGCTCCCAGTTTAGTTAAAAAACGGCTATATGACCCACATTTAATGGCTGCTGTTTTTTTTTCCCTCCTTCCCAAGTTAGACTAGATCTGGTATCTGAGTCTGTATGTGACTTAAGCTGATATTAGGTGAACCATTCTTTAGGAAGCCTATATTAGTTGACCTTGTTAGCCACGCCTGACGGGTGGCCAATGAAATTTGGATTGTCATTAATTATTCTGGCAAGTGGAAGCGTTGTTTTCTTACTGTTCTACAAGTTATTTTAGCGCCTTATTATTACTACACTCAAATTATGTATTCCCTTCACAAAATATCATTGCTGTTTGACCTTGCATTCACTTACTTGGCTGCTTTGCAAGGTCTTTTGTTGTCTGGAAACTTGTTCTCTTAACTACTGATAAGCAAGATCTAGATATCTAAATTCGTTCTTTATGATTTGATACAAGACAGATCAGATAGAATTTGGACTAATTTGGTCTAATTGAATCCTAACATATCCTAATTTGATCATGAATGGAGAAGACCTCCGTCTAAATGTTAACTCATAATTCATTTGAAGAGTCACGTGGGAGGGGCACACATGTTTGTGTGGCCACAAGAACCAACGGACAAAAGAGAGGTCCGCTGGATCTTTTGAGAGGCCCACCCAATATTGTACATCACCCTATATATACCCAAGCTAGGGTTTTTTTGTTCGTTGGGCAAAAGAAGGGTTTGTGAGCATAAGGTGCAAAAGGACGACTTGCAAGTGCAGAGGGGAATTGTGGCTGTCTCTTGGCTTCGTGCAGTCTTGGAAAAATAAAAGCAGAAGAAAACAGAGGGTTCTCCAGCGGCTTTTGAGAGAGGAAGAAAGAGATTAGATTGAGGGTTTAATTGTGAGAGTTGTAAACTTATTTGTATTCTTTTTCTTTCTAATAGTAGATCCCCCCTCCTTGCCCCGTGGACGTAGGCAGTTTGCCGAACCACGTAAAATTGGTTGTTTGAGTTTGTGGTCATTGTAATAGTTTTTTAGGATCCCTCGACAGGTCAGTCCTAGAACTGATGAGAGGAAGAGCCGATATCTCACTTTGTTAAGATATCCGCTTCAGATTCTTGTTTTCTTAGTGAGACGTGAATTCTTATTGATCTTTCTCTCTTATTGTGCACCAGAAATTCTGCCGAAATTTCCGCTGCGCACAACAAGTGGTATCAGAGCCCAGATTCCAGATCTGGAGGAGTAGATCAATTTGGAGGCTCGTTTAGGGCTTTGTTGGTGATAAATGTGGGATCTTTTGGTAAAGACTCTATCTTTTTAGTTTTGGATCTATTCTTCGTTCGTTGGTGCGTAAGATGTCGGGGAAAGAAGGTGTTTCGGGTGTCGAGAGTGGTGCTTCTGGCGCGAAGACTATTCAGAGTTTGAATATCCACTCTATGAAGATAGATGTGGAGAAATTTAATGGCACAAACTTTGGATTATGGAGATGCGAGGTTTTGGATGCGCTGAACGCGCAGAATTTGGAGGATACATTGGAGAGGTTTGGAAGAAGATGAATCGAATGGCGTGTGGTGTGATTAGGTCTTGTTTGACTCAAGATCTAAAATATGATGTGATGAATGAGACTTCTGCGAAGAAGATTTGGGAGATTCTCGAAAGCAAGTATTTGACCAAGAGTGTGGAAAATCGCTTGCATTTGAAGAGGATGCTTTATCGTTTCCAATTGAAGAAGGGAACCTCCATTAGAGATCACATGAACCACTACACGAAGTTTCTTACGGATTTGACGAATGTGGATGTCAAGATTGAAGATGAGGACAATGCGTTATTGCTGTTAAGTTCCTTGCCAGACGAGGAATATGAGACATTCGTCCTTACTCTTATTAATGGGAAGGCAACCCTTTCGTATAGTGAGGTCACCGCTGCACTTGTGAATTATCAGCTTCGAAAGAAGGATAAGGAGGCTTCAGTTGAGTCGGTAGCGGAGACGTTGGTCGCAAGAGGGAAGGGTCCAAACCGGAAGAATTGGAAGTCACAGTATAGAGTAGGACATCCTACAATTGGAAAAGATCAGTGTGCTTGGTGTAAGGAGACTGGTCATTGAAAGAAAGACTGTCCAAAGCTCGACGAATGGATGAAGAATAAGCAGAAGGAAAAAGGGAAGCAGCTATCATCAGAAGCAAACATCGTATCGGATGGTAATAATTCTGACTCTTCTATTTATTCGCTTTCTATCAGTCCTACAGATAGCTATTCGGAGGAATCTGAATAGATGTTGGATAGTGGTGTGACCTATCATGTGTGCCCTAGAAGGGAATGGTTTTCCAGTTTTGAGAAGCTGGTGGATAGTGGTGTGGTGTACATGGCTGATAACCGTGCATGCCAGATCCTTAGATAGGAAGAATTCGCATAAAGATGTTTGACGGGACTGTTAGGGAGTTAAATGATGTGAGATATGTTTCTTCTTTGAGGAAGAACTTGATCTCACTTGGAGCTTTGGTTGGAGAGGGTCTGAAGGTTCGTGTTGAGGACATGGTTCTCGAGATTGTGAGAGACTCTCGTATTTTGATGAAGGGCGTCAGGAGGAATAACCTGTATTACTTGACTGGAGGTATAGTGACAGGTGAAGAGCTGACGACTTCTGTTGATTCGACTAGACTGCGGTATTTGGGGCTTGGCCATTCCAGTATTGATTCCTCGCATAGATTGAAAGAGGGTGTAAAGACCTGCAATTTAAAGTCCAGTGAACGTGTTGATGTGAGCAAGAAGACCGAGGTGAAGTTTGACACCTCTATTCACCAAGTTAAGGGTCGTTCGGGAGAAGTTCACGTGGATGTTTGGGGGCCTTTCAAGGGGGCACCATTGGGAGGTAATAGGCGTTTGGTTTCCTTTGTTGGTGGCTGTTCTAGGCGTGTTTGGGTTGCAACCAAATCCCTTTTGGAGAAAGTCCTAGTAGTATCCAACAAATTGAAGAAGTGTGTAATAGACAAAAAGATGAAGGTACTCCATTCTGATGGGAGGTACAAGATGGACCTATTTCTGTATTGGAGCCGAGCTCACGGCATTTCGAGACACTTCGTTGGAAAGAAAATCTTGGGGCAACTAGATAGGTTGGCAAATTTGGAGAATCGTACCTTGCTGGAGGAGGAACAGTGTTTGTGGTCAAGCAATGGTCTGCAGAAGAGTTTCTGGACAGAGGCTTCGACATATTTAGGTCATCCTATTAAAGAGTTGTCAACTGCTGTGATTGGAGGTAAAACTCCATTGGAAGATAGGTCTGGTAGTGTCACTTTGGTTGAGGCTTCGATGAGGGAGCTAATTGACTCTCAGCAGGTGAAGAGTTTTGGACAGACCTTAGATGTATCGCAGCGGGTGGAGAGTGATGCTACTCCATATTGGGTGGAGATTACTACACATACTCCAGGTCATTCTGCATTGGTTGGGATTCCAGCTGAGGTGACACAGCGTGGAAGTCATTTGGATTCGGATGCGGATGATGAGTTGATAGATTCGAAAGTAGCTGATAGATGTAATTTGGATATGGTCATTGGTTCACCTCAGGTGGAGGTGTTTGAGGCCATTGGAGGTGCTATCAGCCGCAGAGTTGATGATATTAGAGAAGGGTTGCGAACTCTTCTAGTGGATTGAGGTCTTTGGAGGCCATTTGGGTGAACTACGTTCGGCTTGATTCCTTGGGCAAGAGGATACGTAGGCAGTCTTTATGATGCAGCCGGGTTGGATTTTGATGGGGGTGAGATCGATTTGTGAGTTGATACCGATATTTGGAGAGTGTTTGCATTCTCATTTGGGTCTCGACTTGTTGTGAATTGAGTCCGTTGTCGTGAATTGTTTCACTTTGTACTGGACGCAATAAGTGAGACATTTGTTTTGGTTGGTGTCGGCTCAGTTTTGGGAAAACTTCACCGAGGTGGAGAATTGAAGAGTCACGTGGGAGGGGCACACATGTTTGTGTGGCCACAAGAACCAGCGGACAAAAGAGAGGTCCGCTGGATCTTTTGAGAGGCCCACCCAATATTGTACATCACCCTATATATACCCAAGCTAGGGTTTTTTTGTTCGTTGGGCAAAAGAAGGGTTTGTGAGCATAAGGTGCAAAAGGACGGCTTGCAAGTGCAGAGGGGAATTGTGGCTGTCTCTTGGCTTCGTGCAGTCTTGGAAAAATAAAAGCAGAAGAAAACAGAGGGTTCTCCAGCGGCTTTTGAGAGAGGAAGAAAGAGATTAGATTGAGGGTTTAATTGTGAGAGTTGTAAACCTATTTGTATTCTTTTTCTTTCTAATAGTAGATCCCCCCTCCTTGCCCCCATGGACGTAGGCAGTTTGCCGAACCACGTAAAATTGGTTGTTTGAGTTTGTGGCCATTGTAATAGTTTTTTAGGACCCCTCGACAGGTCAGTCCTAGAACTGATGAGAGGAAGAGCCGATATCTAACTTTGTTGAGATATCCGCTTCAGATTCTTGTTTCCTTAGTGAGACAAGAATTCTTATTGATCTTTCTCTCTTATTGTGCACCAGAAACTCACTTTATTGAGATATCCGCTTCAGATTCTTGTTTCCTTAGTGAGACGAGAATTCTTATTGATCTTTCTCTCTTATTGTGCACCAGAAATTCTGCCGAAATTTTCGCTGCGCACAACATCTTTACCATCACATAGTTAAGTATATCTATTGCTAACATGATTGACAAGCTATCCTCACACACCCTGGCGATCCTCCGCTTTAGTTAAGCATATCTGTTGCTGACTGTAGGCATATAAAATTGCTTATAGGTCCCCTAGCACAGCTCGGCATAAACCGACGAACCAACGAGGCGACGAGATCGACGAATCGCACAGAAGCGACAGAATGCATCCATACGCG